CCTCCCAGCCAGGAATTCCTTCCCAATATCCCACCTAAATCTCCCCTTTTCCACTATGAAGCCATTCCCTGTGTCCTGTCCCTCCATCCCTTGTCCCCAGTCCCTCTCCAGCTCTCCTGGTCCCTCTTTTAGGCACTGGAAGGATCCTTTTAGGTGTAGGTGAAGACTTGCCCACTTTCCCATTCCCAGGAAAGCTGGACTCCCATCATGCCTCGTGGTGACTTGGGAAGGAGAAACACCATCACTCCAAGTGTCCCCCTTCCTTCTTCCCTCAGCTCCATCAGCTGACCATAGTCTGGGATATCCCATGGATCAGTTGGGATCAGCTGTCCCAGTTGTGTCCTCTCCCAACTCCTTGTTCCCTCCCAACCTCCTGGGATTCCTTCAGGAAAAGGACCACAGATGGGGACGGATTTGTCTCCCAATCTTCATTTTCTCCCGTGCTCTTTCAACAGGGACCTCGTGGTTTGTCCAAGGAGAAGATTTGAAATCTGAATCTAGGAAAGAAAACCATTCCAGTGCCATTTCTGGTCCCGGGCCATCCTGGTTTGAGCCCTGGACCAGCACGAAGCCCTGGAGGGAACCGCTCCGAGAGAAAAACTGGGAAGAGCAGCAGCACCACGTGATTCCAGCAGCAGCTCCAGACAGAGGTGCTGGGAAGGGGCCTGTGCTGCCCTTTGTGAAGCTCACGCTGCAGGTGAGGGCACCTTCCACTGTGGGACTGCTGAGATCTCCCTGGATTTAGAATCCTGGAATGGTTTGGGACCTTAAAGCCCATCCAGGTCCACCCCCTGCCATGGGCAGGGACACCTTCCACTAGCCCAGGTTGTTCCAACCTGGCCTTGGACACTTTCAGGGATCCAGGGCCAGTCACAGCTTCTCTGGGCAACCTGGGCCAGCAGGACTGAGGATTAGGGATCAGGATTTAGGATTCAGGATATGTCACTGGGGAATGGGGGCAGTTTTCTCACGCTGAGTCACAGAGCTGGACACACATTTATGGTTATTAAACATCAAACCCTGGGTTGGTTCAGGAACCATTGGGGGCAGAACTGGTGCCTTCAGTCTCTGGAGAACTTCCCAGCACAAAGCACTGGAATTATTTCAGGAGTCACTGGAGTCCAGAGTGAACATGGGCAGCTCCCCCTGCACTGTCCCACATGACCTCAGGCAGTGAGGAGCACGGCTGCAGGTGCCAAGACAGGTTTGGGGACAGCAAACGAGCTCCAAGTGTGGCCCCCATGGAGGAACTGGATCTTTAAGGCAGGGAATCATGGAATGGCTTGGGTTGGAAGGGACCTTAAAGCTCATCCAGTCCCACCCCCTGTCATGGACAGGGACACCTCCCACTGTCCCAGGTTGCTCCAAGTCCCGTCCAACCTTGGACACTTCCAGGGATTGGGTTTGAGTTGTTTCAAGGGTTGTGCTGAATCTTGTGGAATCAGTTTTTGTTCCTTGTTTTTATTTCCCCTCGTGGTGTCTGCAGCTCCCTCAGGATGGGAAGTGGAGGGGCAACACTGGCCTCTTGTCTCTGGTGCCCAGGGACAGCGCCCAGGGAACGGCTGGAGCTGTGCCAGGGCAGGCTCAGGTTGGATCTCAGGCAAAGGTTCTTCCCCCAGAGGGTGGTTGGGCACTGCCCAGGCTCCTCAGGGCAGTGGGCACAGCCCCAAGGCTACCAGAGCTCCAGGAGGGTTTGGACAACACCCTCAGGGACAGGGTGGGATTGTTGGGGTGTCTGTGCAGGACCAGGAGTTGGACTGGATGATCCTTGTGTGTCCCTTCCAGCGGAGGATTCTGTGACCTTTAAAATAATTGGAAACCTCACAAATCCATCGTTTTTGTTTCTGCCAGTCTGGCTTCCCCCAATACACTTTCCCAGTGTTTTTCCCCAATATTTGAAATATCTGATATTTTAGGGCTTAAATTATTCGCCATTGGGAACCAGCAGAAGTGGAGCTGGTGCGACATCGAGCCGTGACTTGTTTCCTTGCAGAAATAATCCTGTGGTCTACGGAATATTTTTTATTTATTTTATTTTAGTTTTGTTTTATTTTACTTTATTTCCCCTCTTTTCCTTCCATTTCCCCCCCTTTGCCCCCCCTTTTTCCCCTCTTCTCCCCCTTTTGCTTCCCCCTTTCCTGTCCCTTTCCCTTTTCCCTTTTTCCTCTCCCTTTTTTCTCTCCCTTTTTCCTTTCCCCTTTCCCCTTTCCCGTTTCCTTCCCTTTCC